AAATACTGTTCACTTATATGTTTCACTGTAAACACCTGGTCCACACACCCCCTACCTTTCCTAAAGCCTCCTTGTTCATCTGCTATCCTATTCTCCGTCTAACTCTTAATTCTTTCAATAATAACTCTACCATACACTTTACCAGGTATACTCAACAGACTTATCCCACTATAATTTTTGCACTCTTTTGTCCCCTTTGCCTTTATACAAAGGAACTATGCATGCTCTCTGCCAATCCCTAGGTACCTTACCCTCTTCCATACATTTATTAATTATTTGCACCAACCACTCCAAAACTATATCCCCACCTGCTTTTAACATTTCTATCTTCATCCCATCAATCCCGACTACCTTACCCCCTTTCATTTTACCTACTGCCTCACGAACTTCCCCCACGCTCACAACTGGTTCTTCCTCACTCCTACAAGATGTTATTCCTCCTTGCCCTATACACGAAATCACCGCTTCCCTATCTTCATCAACATTTAACAATTCCTCAAAATATTCCCTCCATCTTCCCAATACCTCTAACTCTCCATTTAATAACTCTCCTCTCATATTTTTAACTGATATATATATATATATATATATATATATATATATATATATATATATATATATATATATATATATATATATATATATATATATATGCAAGGAATTCGCAAGAGGAAGCGAAATATACACAAACACTGATCTCTGGCTGAAGGAGACTCGAACCTACGAACCTTGGAAGAAGGTACGCAGTGCTTTACCAATTTACCCACACTGGACCATTACCTTGGAGTCCAGCTTGCGCTAGACTTTGATCCACGCGCACACACGAATAACAAGTATCTACGCTAGGAAACGCACATTTTCACTTAACGAACATCTTCACTACTAAACGTACATCTTCACTATTTAACGCACATACTCACTACTAAACACACAACTAAACACACATCTTCACTACTAAACGTACATCTTCACTATTTAACGCACATACTACTAAACACACAACTAAACACACATCTTCACTACTAAACGCAAATGTAAACTACTAAATGCACATCTTCACTGCTGAACGCAGATCTTCATTACAAAACGCACATCTTCAATACTAAAGGCACATGTTCACTACAAAACGCACATCTTTACTACTAAACGCACATCACTACTAAACGCACATCACTAATAAACACACATCTTCACTACAAAAAGCACATCTTCAACACTAAAGGCACATGTTCACTACAAAACGCACATCTTTACTAAACGCACATCACTACTAAACGCACATCACTAATAAACACACATCTTCACTACTAAACGCACATCACTAATAAACACACATCTTCACTACAAAACGCACATCTTCAATACTAAAGGCACATGTTCACTACAAAACGCACATCTTTACTACTAAACGCACATCACTACTAAACGCACATCACTAATAAACACACATCTTCACTACTAAACGCACATCTTCACTACTAAAGCACATCTCCACTAAGAAACTCACATCTTCACTAAGAAACTCACATCTTCACTACTAAACGCACATCACTACTAAGCGCACATCTCCACTGAGAAACGCACATTTTCACTACTAAACGCACATCTTCACTAAGAAACCCACACATCTTTACTGCACATATTTCCCATTACACTGAGAAATACACATTCGTAATTCAGTGTAACAAGAAAATATTCCAAGTCTGACTAAAATATCGTCACAAGTTTCTTTATTGCTTAAATCAAGTTCCTTAACAAAGTTTAAATAAAATAACGTCAGTTCCATTTAAGCAACTTTTTTACCAATATGATAATAACAGTAATTTCGTTAAGGAAATTACTTAGAAAATAACTTAGACAAAATGTGTAATTTCAAGACGTAACTTCTGTTGGTATCGATAGCCATCCTTATTGTAGATGTTATCTATATTTGCCACGTGAGATAAAGCATCAGACAAGTGAATAGTGAGATGCGTTTGAGAATTCAGGACGCATTATGGCCTTGTTGTGTACGATCTACCAGACTGGGCGCCTGGTTGTTGCGATCCCAAGTCCCCTTCTCAGACGATGACCTCGGAGACGTTGCCAATTTCGTCAATTTCTTCGTTTTGCAGGAATTGGCAAAGGACCAGGGAGCGAGCCTTAGTGGTATTCGTAAACCATCAGGAAAGATTATTGCCCTAGCCCTACTTGTCCTGCCTATGTAAGCCATTGTATTGATAGTTGTCCTCTACTACGTTATTGTGGATCTGTGTAATAAATTACAGAGGGAGGACAATCCCAAGGAGAGCGAGGACGGACTCTTGTAGGGCGAAAACAAACTTGAGGTTTGTTAGGCCAAGGCCGAACCCAAATCCGAGGAGTCGCCCGAAGAATCGTCCGAGTCCGAAGCCGAGGAGTCTCCCGAGACCGAGTCCGAAGCCGAGGAGTCTCCCGAGACCGAGTCCGAAGCCGAGGAGTCTCCCGAGACCGAGTCCGAAGCCGAGGAGTCTCCCGAGACCGAGTCCGAAGCCGAGGAGTCGCCCGAGACCGAGTCCGAAGCCGAGGAGTCGCCCGAGACCGAGTCCGAAGCCGAGGAGTCGCCCGAGACCGAGTCCGAAGCCGAGGAGTCGCCCGAGACCGAGTCCGAAGCCGAGGAGTCGCCCGAGGCCGACCCCGAAGAGTCGCCCGAGGTCGACCCCAAAGAGTCGCCCGAGGTCGACCCAGAAGAGTCGCCCGAGGTCGACCCCGAAGAGTCGCCCGAGGTCGACCTCGAAGAGTCGCCCGAGGTCGACCCCGAAGAGTCGCCCGAGGCCGACCCCGAAGAGTTGCCCGAGACCGAGTCCGAAGCCGAGGAGTCGCCCGAGACCGGGTCCGAACCTGAAGAATCGTCCGAGGCCGCCGAACCCGAAGAGTCGCCCGAGGCCGACCCCGAAGAGTCGCCCGAGGCCGACCCCGAAGAGTCGCCCGAGGTCGACCCCAAAGAGTCGCCCGAGGTCGACCCCGAAGAGTCGCCCGAGGTCGACCCCGAAGAGTCGCCCGAGGTCGACCCCAAAGAGTCGCCCGAGGTCGACCCCGAAGAGTCGCCCGAGGTCGACCCCGAAGAGTCGCCCGAGGTCGACCTCGAAGAGTCGCCCGAGGTCGACCCCGAAGAGTCGCCCGAGGCCGACCCCGAAGAGTCGCCCGAGGCCGACCCCGAAGAGTCGCTCGAGGCCGACCCCGAAGAGTCGCCCGAGACCGAGTCCGAAGCCGAGGAGTCGCCCGAGACCGGGTCCGAACCTGAAGAATCATCCGAGGCCGCCGAACCCGAAGAGTCGCCCGAGGCCGACCCCGAAGACTCGCCCGAGGTCGACCCCGAAGAGTCGCCCGAGGTCGACCCCGAAGAGTCGCCCGAGGCCGACCCCAAAGAGTCGCCCGAGGCCGACCCCGAAGAGTCGCCCGAGGCCGACCCCGAAGAGTCGCCCGAGGCCGACCCCGAAGAGTCGCCCGAGGCCGACCCCGAAGAGTCGCCCGAGGCCGACCCCGAAGAGTCGCCCGAGGCCGACCCCGAAGAGTCGCCCGAGGCCGACCCCGAAGAGTCGCCCGAGGCCGACCCCGAAGAGTCGCCCGAGGCTGAACCCGTATCCGAGAAGTCGCTCGAGGATGAACTCGAATCCGAGGAGTTCCTCGAGTCCAAACTCGAGCTCGAGGAATCGCCCGACGCCGAGGCCGAACCCGAACCCGAGGAATCGCCCGAAGTCGAGGCCGAATCCAATCCCGAGGAGTCGCTTAAGGCCGAGGCCGAACCCGAGGTGGGCCAATGGACAGAGTCACCCCAGGAGGAATAAAGGATAGTGTCACCCCATGAGGGGCAAGGGACAGTGTCACACCAGGAGGATCAAGGGGCAATGCCACCCCAGGAGGATCAAGGGACATTGTCACCCCAGGATGAACAAGGGACAGTGTCACCCCAGAAGGTCCAAGAGACAGTGTCATCCCAGGAGGATCAAGGGACATTGTCATCCCAGGAGGATCAAGGGACATTGTCATCCCAGGAGGTCCAAGGGGCAGTGTCATGCCAGGAGGAAAAAAGGACAGTGTCATCCCAGGAGGACCAAGGGGCAGTGTCATCCCAGGAGGACCAAGGGACAGTGTCATCCCAGGAGGACCAAGGGACAGTGTCATCCCAGAAGGACCAAGGGACAGTGTCATCCCAGGAGGACCAAGGGACAGTGTCATCCCAGGAGGACCAAGGGACAGTGACATCCCAGGAGGACCAAGGGACAGTGACATCCCAGGAGGACCAAGGGACAGTGTCATCTCAGGAGGACCAAGGGACAGTGTCATCCCAGGAGGACCAAGGGACAGTGTCTTCCCAAGAGGACCAAGGGACAGTGTCTTCCCAAGAGGACCAAGGGACAGTGTCTTCCCAAGAGGACCAAGGGACAGTGTCTTCCCAGGAGGACCAAGGGACAGTGTCTTCCCAGGAGGACCAAGGGACAGTGTCATCCCAGCAGAACCAAGGGACAGTGTCATCCCAGCAGAACCAAGGGGCAGTGTCATCCCAGGAGGACCAAGGGGCAGTGTCATCCCAGGAGGACCAAGGGGCAGTGTCATCCCAGGAGGACCAAGGGACAGTGGCACCCGAGGAGTGTGATTTGGAGGGGATGGACAGATCTAGTAAAGATTCCTCACTCTTAAACAAAGTTGCTAATGTGGCACTTGGGATTTATTCAGTGTTTCTCATCCCTGTTGCACTGACATTGTTCAGCGTGTGAAGTGTTCCACTGAACAAAAAGGTCCCTTTCTACACAGTCCCTTATTATTTGTTCAAAGACTGATGAAAGCATATTTATTTTAAATTATACTTTTAACTATTGTCTTAATATAATTGATTTTCATTATGTATATGCAAAACAACCACTCTGAAAAAATAGAGAAATTCCAAGCGCCTTCGTGACTATTTACATTATCAAGGAACTATGAAAGTGAAGCATCCAAGGAAGCTATATAAGGGGTCCGGCCAGCACCTCACTATCAGATCCCACAACGGTTAAACACGTGACGCGCGCCGACCCAACTTGGATAGGTCCTTTGCACAACTCACCCACAAACTATTCTACCCAAGAAAATTTAAAAATTATTATTTGTCCAGTGTATTATTAAATTCTTCCCAAATTCTATTAATTATAAATGGATCTAATTTATATAAACCGAAGGAAATATTCATATTATTGTCAAAACTGCTTTTTATGAAACAAGATTCAATTACATTCCTGTCGACCATGGACTTGCTTGATAATACTTTCTCAACTTTTTGAAAATCAATTGGATGGTTAAAATCTCTCACATGAATAAATAGAGTATTGGAATCTTGTCCAGTTCTAATGCTATATTTATGTTGTTTTAATCTTAGTTCGAGATTTTTACCAGTTTGACCGTAATAAACTTTATCGCAAATTTTACAAGGAATCTTATAGACACATCCATCAGCATTTTGGGGGGAATTCTTTATCAAAAGTTTTTTTTACTGTATCAAGATTTTTGAATACAACTTTAATATTAAAAGTCTTAAGAAGAGAAGGCATATCAACCAAATTTTCATGGTAAGGGAGAACCAACACATGTATATGTGTGTGTATTATATATATATATTATATATATATATATATATATATATATATATATATATATATATTTATTTATTTATTTATTTATTTATTATTATTTTATTATCACACTGGCCGATTCCCACCAAGGCAGGGTGGCCCGAAAAAGAAAAACTTTCACCATCATTCACTCCATCACTGTCTTGCCAGAAGGGTGCTTTACACTATAGTTTTTAAACTGCAACATTTACACCCCTCCTTCAGAGTGCAGGCACAGTACTTCCCATCTCCAGGACTCAAGTCCGGCCTGCCGGTTTCCCTGAACCCCTTCATAAATGTTACTTTGCTCACACTCCAACAGCACGTCAAGTATTAAAAACCATTTGTCTCCATTCACTCCTATCAAACACGCTCACGCATGCCTGCTGGAAGTCCAAGCCCCTCGCACACAAAACCTCCTTTACCCCCTCCCTCCAACCTTTCCTAGGCCGACCCCTACCCCGCCTTCCTTCCACTACAGACTGATACACTCTTGAAGTCATTCTGTTTCGCTCCATTCTCTCTACATGTCCGAACCACCTCAACAACCCTTCCTCAGCCCTCTGGACAACAGTTTTGGTAATCCCGCACCTCCTCCTAACTTCCAAACTACGAATTCTCTGCATTATATTCACACCACACATTGCCCTCAGACATGACATCTCCACTGCCTCCAGCCTTCTCCTCGCTGCAACATTCATCACCCATGCTTCACACCCATATAAGAGCGTTGGTAAAACTATACTCTCATACATTCCCCTCTTTGCCTCCAAGGACAAAGTTCTTTGTCTCCACAGACTCCTAAGTGCACCACTCACCCTTTTCCCCTCATCAATTCTATGATTCACTTCATCTTTCATAGACCCATCCGCTGACACGTCCACTCCCAAATATCTGAATACATTCACCTCCTCCATACTCTCTCCCCCCAATCTGATATCCAATCTTTCATCACCTAATCTTTTTTTTATCCTCATAACCTTACTCTTTCCTGTATTCACCTTTAATTTTCTTCTTTTGCACACCCTACCAAATTCATCCACCAATCTCTGCAACTTCTCTTCAGAATCTCCCAAGAGCACAGTGTCATCAGCAAAGAGCAACTGTGACAACTCCCACTTTGTGTGTGATTCTTTATCTTTTAACTCCACGCCTCTTGCCAAGACCCTCGCATTTACTTCTCTTACAACCCCATCTATAAATATATTAAACAACCACGGTGACATCACACATCCTTGTCTAAGGCCTACTTTTACTGGGAAATAATATCCCTCTTTCCTACATACTCTAACTTGAGCCTCACTATCCTCGTAAAAACTCCTCATTGCTTTCAGTAACCTACCTCCTACACCATACACCTGCAACATCTGCCACATTGCCCCCTATCCATCCTGTCATACGCCTTTTCCAAATCCATAAATGCCACAAAGACCTCTTTAGCCTTATCTAAATACTGTTCACTTCTATGTTTCACTGTAAACACCTGGTCCACACACCCCCTACCTTTCCTAAAGCCTCCTTGTTCATCTGCTATCCTATTCTCCGTTTAACTCTTAATTCTTTCAATAATAACTCTACCATACACTTTACCAGGTACACTCAACAAACTTATCCCCCTATAATTTTTGCACTCTTTTTTTGTCCCCATTGCCTTTATACAAAGGAATTATGCATGCTCTCTGCCAATCCCTTGGTACCTTACCCTCTTCCATACATTTATTAAATAATTGCACCAACCACTCCAAAACTATATCCCCACCTGCTTTTAACATTTCTATCTTTATCCCATCAATCCCGGCTGCCTTACCCCCTTTCATTTTACCTACTGCCTCACGAACTTCCCCCACACTCACAACTGGCTCTTCCTCTCTCCTACAAGATATTATTCCTCCTTGCCCTATACACGAAATCACCGCTTCCCTATCTTCATCAACATTTAACAATTCCTCAAAATATTACCTCCATCTTCCCAATACCTCTAACTCTCCATTTAATAACTCTCCTCTCCTATCTTTAACTGACAAATCCATTTGTTCTCTAGGCTTCCTTAACTTGTTAATCTCACTCCAAAACTTTTTCTTATTTTCAACAAAATTTGTTGATAACATCTCACCCACTCTCTCATTTGCTCTCTCTTTACATTGCTTCACAACTCTCTTAACCTCTCTCTTTTTCTCCATATACTCTTCCCTCCTTGCATCACTTCTACTTTGTAAAAACTTCTCATATGCTAACTTTTTCTCCCTTACTACTCTCTTTACATCATCAATCCACCAATCGCTCCTCTTCCCTCCCGCACCCACTTTCCTGTAACCACAAACTTCTGCTGAACACTCTAACACTACATTTTTAAACCTACCCCATACCTCTTCGACCCCATTGCCTATGCTCTCATTAGCCCATCTATCCTCCAATAGCTGTTTATATCTTTCCCTAACTGCCTCCTCTTTTAGTTTATAAACCTTCACCTCTCTCTTCCCTGATGCTTCTATTCTCCTTGAATCCCATCTACCTTTTACTCTGTGTAGCTACAACTAAAAAGTGATCTGATATATCTGTGGCCCCTCTATAAACATGTACATCCTGAAGTCTACTCAACAGTCTTTTATCTGCCAATACATAATCCAACAAACTACTGTCATTTCGCCCTACATCATATCTTGTATACTTATTTATCCTCTTTTTCTTAAAATATGCATTACCTATGAATAAACCCCTTTCTATACAAAGTTCAATCAAAGGGCTCCCATTATCATTTACACCTGGCACCTCAAACTTTCCTACCACACCCTCTCTTAAAGTTTCTCCTACTTTAGCATTCAGGTCCTCTACCACAATTACTCTCTCACTTGGTTCAAAGGTTCCTATACATTCACTTAACATCTCCCAAAATCTCTCTCTCTCCTCTGCATTCCTCTCTTCTCCAGGTGCATACACGCTTATTATGACCCACTTCTCGCATCCAACCTTTACTTTAATCCACATAATTCTTGAATTTACACATTCATATTCTATTTTCTCCTTCCATAACTGATCCTTCAACATTACTGCTACCCCTTCCTTTGCTCTAACTCTCTCAGATACTCCAGATTTAATCCCATTTATTTCCCCCCACCGAAACTCCCCTACCCCCTTCAGCTTTGTTTCGCTTAGGGCCAGGACATCCAACTTCTTTTCATTCATAACATCAGCAATCATCTGTTTCTTGTCATCCGCACTACATCCACGCACATTCAAGCATCCCAGTTTTATAAAGTTTTTCTTCTTCTCTGTTTTAGTAAATGTCTACAGGAGAAGGGGTTACTAGCCCATTGCTCCCGGCATTTTAGTCGCCTCATACGACACGCATGGCTTACGGAGGAAAGATTCTTTTCCACTTCCCCATAGACAATAGAAGAAATAAAGAAAAACAAGAGCTATTTAGAAAAAGGAGAAAAAGCTAGATGTGTGTATATATATATATATATATATATATATATATATATATATATATATATATATATATATATATTGCATGTGCGTGTCTGTGAAGTGTGACCAAAGTATAAGTATATACAGACACTCACACATGCACACACACGAATAACAAGTATCTTCACTAGGAAACGCACATTTTCACTACTAAATACACATCTTCACCAATAAACGCTCATCTTCACTATGAAACGCACATCACTACTAAACGCATATCTTCAATACTAAACACACACCTTCTATACTAAACACACATCTTCACTACTAAACGCACATCACTAGTAAACTCACATCTTCACTGCTAAACGCACATCACTAGTAAACTCACATCTTCACTGCTAAACGCACATCACTACTAAACTCACATCTTCACTGCTAAACGCACATCACTAGTAAACTCACATCTTCACTGCTAAACGCACATCACTACTAAACTCACATCTTCACTGCTAAACGCACATCACTAGTAAACTCACATCTTCACTGCTAAACGCACATCACTACTAAACTCACATCTTCACTGCTAAACGCACATCACTACTAAACTCACATCTTCACTGCTAAACGCACATCACTACTAAACTCACATCTTCACTGCTAAACGCACATCTTCAATAATAAACTCGCATCTTCACTACTAAACACACATCTTCACTGCTAAACACACATCTTCACTACTAAACACACATCTTCACTACTAAACACACATCTTCACTACTAAACACACATCTTCACTACTAAACACACATCTTCACTGCTAAACACACATCTTCACTACTAAACACACATCTTCACTACTAAACACACATCTTCACTAAACGCACAGTTTCATTAAACGCGCATCTCAGCTATGAAACACATCTTCACTACTAAACATAAGAACAACATAAGAACATAAGAAAGGAGGAACACTGCAGGAGGCCTGCTGGCCCATACTAGGCAGGTCCTTTACAATTCATCCCACTAACAAAACATTTGCCCAACCCAATTTTCAATGCCACCCAAGAAATAAGCTCTGATGTGAAAGTCCCACTCAAATCCAACCCCTCCCACTCATGTACTTATCCAACCTAGATTTGAAACTACCCAAAGTCCCAGCCTCAATAACCCAACTAGGTAGACTGTTCCACTCATCAACTACCCTATTTCCAAACCAATACTTTCCTATGTCCTTTCTAAATCTAAACTTATCTAATTTAAATCCATTACTGCGCGTTCTCTCTTGGAGAGACATCCTCAAGACCTTATTAATATCCCCTTTATTAATACCTATCTTCCACTTATACACTTCGATCAGGTCTCCCCTCATTCTTCGTCTAACAAGTGAATGTAACTTAAGAGTCTTCAATCTTTCTTCATAAGGAAGATTTCTGATGCTATGTATTAATTTAGTCATCCTACGCTGAATGTTCTCTAACGAATTTATGTCCATTTTGTAATACGGAGACCAGAACTGAGCTGCATAATCAAGGTGAGGCCTTACTAATGATGTATAAAGCTGCAGTATGACCTCTGGACTTCTGTTGCTTACACTTCTTGATATAAATCCCAGTAATCTATTTGCCTTATTACGTACGCTTAGGCATTGCTGTCTTGGTTTAAGGTTGCTGCTCACCATAACCCCCAAGTCCTTTTCGCAATCTGTATGGCTAAGTTCTACATCATTTAATTTATAAGTACTAGGGTTATGGGCACTCCCAAGCTTCAGAACCTTGCATTTATCTACATTGAACTGCATCTGCCACTTTTCTGACCAAGAATAGAGTTTGTTTAAATCCTCCTGAAGTTCCCTAACATCTACGTTTGAATCAATTATCCTACCTATCTTTGTGTCATCGGCGAATTTGCTCATATCACTAGTAATTCCCTCATCAAGATCATTGATATATATTATAAACAACAACGGGCCCAAGACTGATCCCTGTGGAACGCCACTTGTTACAGATCCCCACTCGGATTTAACCCCATTTATGGACACTCTCTGCTTCCTGTCAGTGAGCCATGACTCGATCCACGAGAGCACTTTTCCCCCAATGCCATGAGCTGCCACTTTCTTTAACAGTCTATGGTGCGGAACTCTATCAAAAGCCTTACTAAAATCTAAGTAAATAATATCAAATTCTTTATTGTGGTCAACAGCCTCAAAAGCTTTACTGAAGAAAGTTAATAAATTAGTTAGACAAGACCGGCCTCTTGTGAATCCATGCTGAGTATCATTAATCAAGCTATGCTTATCGAGATGGCTTCTTATAATCTCAGCTATAATTGACTCTAGTAATTTGCCTACAATTGAGGTCAGGCTTATTGGGCGGTAATTTGACGGTAACGACTTGTCCCCTGTTTTAAAAATAGGAGTTACATTAGCCATCTTCCACATATCAGACACTACACCTGTTTGAAGAGATAAATTAAAAATATTAGTTAATGGTTCACAGAGTTCCATTTTGCATTCCTTAAGAACTCTTGAAAAAACCTCATCAGGACCCGGCGACTTATTTTGCTTCAGTCTGTCTATCTGCCTCACAACCATATCACTAGTGACTGTGATGTTACATAATTTATCTTCTTCTAGCCCACTGTAAAAATTAATTACTGGAATATTGTTAGTGTCTTCCTGTGTAAAAACTGAGAGAAAATAATTATTTAAAATCAAGCACATTTCATTCTCATTGTCAGTAAGGTGCCCATAGTTATTTTTAAGGGGACCTATCTTATCTCTAACTTTTGTTCTATAGACCTGGAAAAAACTTTTTGGGTTAGTTTTAGAATCCCTAGCAACTTTAATTTCATAGTCCCTTTTAGCTTTTCTTATCCCCTTTTTAATGTCCCTCTTAATGTCAATATACTGATTCATAAGATGACCCACAATGAAACACACATCTTCACTACTAAACGCACATCCCCACAATGAAACACACATCTTCACTACTAAACGCACATCCCCACAATGAAACACACATCTTCACTACTAAACGCACATCCCCACAATGAAACACACATCTTCACTACTAAACGCACATCCCCACAATGAAACACACATCTTCACTACTAAACGCACATCCTCACAATGAAACACACATCTTCACTACTAAACACACATCTTCACTATTAAACACACATCTTCACTAAGAAACCCACACATCTATACTGCCATACTCAGATGCACATATTTACCATTACTCTGACAAATACGTATTCGTAATTCAGTGTAACAAGTTAAAGTTCCAAGTCTGATCGAAACGTTGTCACAAGTTTCTTTTCTGTTGTTGCTTAAATCAAGTTCGTTAAGAAAGTTCAATATTTACCGATCTGTAAATAAAATAACATGAGTTCCAGGTGACCAACTTTTTTGCGAATGTGATAATAACAGTAACTTCGCCAAGGGAATTACTTAGAAAAAAATAAATTTAACAAAATGTGTAATTTCACGACGTTACTTCTGTTGGTATCGATAGTCATCGGCATTAAAGATGTTATCTACCTATACCATGTGAGATAAAGCATCATTGAAGCGAATTGTGAGATGGTTCTGAGAATTCAGGACGCATTATAGCCTAGTTTGCTACGATCTACCAGACTAGGCGCCTTGTTGTTGGAGCCCAGAATCCCATTCTCCAACGATGACCTCGGGGGCGTTACCTTTCTGGAGAATTTCTATAGTCTCTAAGATTTCGCCAAGAAAAAGGGAGTGAACCTTAGCGGTATTAGCAAACCATCTCTAAAAGACATTGCTCTTGGCGTACTTATCCTGCTTGTGTTAGCCTTTTTCTGGTCCGTTGTCGTGTACAACGCTATTGTAGATCTCTGTAATAAATTATAGAGCGAGGACGAACTCGTATCCGAGGAGTCGCCCGAGGCCGAACCAGAGGAGTCGCCCGAGACCGAAACCGAACCCGAGGAGTCGGCAGAGATCGAGGCAGAATCCGAACACGAGGAGTCGCCCGAGGCTGAGGCCGAACCCGAGGAGTCGCCCGAAGCTGAGGCCGAACCCGAGGAGTCGCCCGAAGCTGAGGCCGAACCCGAGGAGTCGCTCAAGGCCGAGGTCGAACACGAATCCGAGGAGTCTCCTGAAGCCGAGGCCGAATCCGAACCCGAGGAGTCGCCCGAGGCCGAACCCGAGCCCGAGGAGTCGCCTGAAGCCGAGGCCGAACCCGAACCCGAGGAGTCGCCTGAAGCCGAGGCCGAATCTGAACCCGAGGAGTCGCCTGAGGCCGAACCCGAGCCCGAGGAGTCGCCTGAAGCCGAGGCCGAACCCGAACCCGAGGAGTCGCCTGAAGCCGAGGCCGAATCTGAACCCGAGGAGTCGCCTGAAGCCGAACCCGAGCCCGAGGAGTCGCTCGAGGCCGAGGTCGAACCCGAGGAGTCGCCCGAGACCTAGGCCGAACCCGAGGAGTCGCCCGAAGCTGAGGCCGAACCCGAGGAGTCGCTCACGGACGAGGCCGAACCCGAATCCGAGGAGTCGCAGGAGGCCGAACCCGAGGAGTCGCCCGAGACCGAGGCCGAACCCGAGGAGTCGCCCGAGATCGAGGCCGAATCCGAACCCGAGGAGTCGCTCGAGGCTGAGGCCGAACCCGAGGTGTCGCCCGAAGCTGAGGCCGAACCCGAGTCGCTCGAGGCCGAGGCCGAACCCGAATCCGAGGAGTCTCCTGAAGCCGAGGCCGAACTCGAACCCGAGGAGTCGCCCGAGGCCGAACCCGAACCCGAGGAGTCGCCCGAGGCCGAGGCCGAGCCCGAACCCGAGGAGTCGCCTGAAGTCGAGGCCGAACCCGAGCCCGAGGAGTCGCCTGAAGTCGAGGCCGAACCCGAGCCCGAGGAGTCGCCTGAAGTCGAGGCCGAACCCGAGCCCGAGGAGTCGACCGAGGCCGAACACGAGCTCGAGGAGTCGCTCGAGACCGAGGCCGAAGCCAAGCCCGAGGAGTCGCTCGAGACCGAGACCGAACCCGAACCCGAGGTGGACCAAGGGACAGTGTCACCCCAGAAAGAACAAATGACAGTGTCACTCCAGGAGGATCAAGGGGCAGTGCCACCCCAGGAGGACCAAGGGACAGTGTCACCCCAGGAGGACCAAGGGACAGTGTCACCCCAGGAGGACCAAGGGACAGTGTCACCCCAGGAGGATCAAGGGGCAGTGCCACCCCAGGAGGATCAAGGGGCAGTGCCACCCCAGGAGGACCAAGGAACAGTGTCACCTCAGGAGGATCAAGGGGCAGTGCCACCCCAGGAGGATCAAGGGGCAGTGCCACCCCAGGAGGACCAAGGGACAGTGCCACCCCAGGAGGACCAAGGAACAGTGTCACCCCAGGAGGATCAAGGGGCAGTGCCACCCCAGGAGGATCAAGGGGCAGTGCCACCCCAGGAGGACCAAGGGACAGTGCCACCCCAGGAGGACCAAGGGACAGTGCCACCCCAGGAGGACCAAGGGACAGTGTCATCCCAGGAGGACCAAGGGACAGTGTCATCCCAGGAGGACCAAGGGACAGTGTCATCCCAGGAGGACCAAGGAACAGTGTCATCCCAGCAGAACGAAGGGACAGTGTCATCCCAGGAGAACCAAGGGACAGTGTCATCCCAGGAGGACCAAGGAACAGTGTCATCCCAGGAGGACCAAGGGACAGTGTCATGCCAGGAGGGTCAAGGGACAGTGTCATGCCAGGAGGGTCAAGGGACAGTGTCATGCCAGGAGGACCAAGGGACAGTGGGACCCGAGGAGTGTGATTTGGAGGGGATGGACAGATCTAGTAAAGATTCCTCACTCTTAAACAAAGTTGCTAATGTGGCACTTGGTATTTATTCAGTGTTTCTCATCCCGGTTGCACTGACATTGTTCAGTGTGTGAAGTGTTCCACTGAACAAAAAGGTCCCTTTCTACACAGTCACTTATTATTTGTTCAAAGACTGATCAAAGCATATTTATTTTAAATTATACTTTTAACTATTGTCTTAATATAATTGATTTTCATTGTTATATATATATATATATATATATATATATATATATATATATATTGTCTATTCGTCCACAGCAGGACTCTAATCTCGTAACTCTGTATCAGAGTCCACAGTATTTTAACACGGACTCTGATACAGAGTTACCAGGCTCGAGGCCGGCTCTGGACTTAGAGACAATGTAAACAACTTCGCCTGTTTGCGAATTGTTAAGCGTATATATGTATATATATATATATATATATATATATATATATATATATATATATATATATATATATATATATATATACACACACACAGAAAGGTCGCAGTCAGCAGGATTCGATACTGCTACTGGGACAGACAAGATTCACAGGCAGAGCTCTTAACCATTCGGCCACACAAATACCACATAACTGGACAGCCTGTTTCACAAGCCATGTTTCTTTCCCATGATGGGCATGTTAGTGAGCCTCAAGCATGGATCCATATTATTTCAATCTCTTCCTTTATGTTCTAGCCTCTCAAGCGATTTTTATATCAATGTACCACTCAGAAACAAGCACGTATATAAAGAGAGAGATCGCAGTCAGCAGGACTCGATACTGCTACCGGGACGGACAAGATGCTGCCCAGCATTTGTGGTATTTGTGTGGCCGAGTGGCTAATAGCGCTGCCTGGGAGTCTTGTCCGTCCCAGAAGCAGTATCGAGTCCTGCTGAATGCGATCTTTTTCTGTCTTTATATGTATATTACCTGGAGTTTACCTGGAGAGAGTTCCGGGGGTCAACGCCCCCGCGGCTCGGTCTGTGACCGGGCCTCCTGGTGGATCAGAGCCTGATCATTCAGGCTGTTACTTCTGGCTGCACGCAATGCAACGTACGAGCCACAGCCCGGCTGGTCAGGTGCCAACTTTAGGTGCTTGTCCAGTGCCAGCTTGAAGACTGTCAGAGGTCTATTGGTAATCCGCCTTATGTATGCTGGGAAGAAGTTGAACAGTCTCGGACCTATGACACTTATTGTATTGTCTCTTAACGTGCTTGTGACACCCCTGCTTTTCACTGGGGGGATGTTGCATCGTTTGCCAAGTCTTTTGCTTTTGTTATGAGTGATTTTCGTGTGCAAGTTCGGTACTAGTCCCTCTAGGATTTTCGAGGCGTATATAATCATGTATCTCTCCCACCTGCGTTCCAGGGAATACAGGTTCAGGAACTTCAAGCGCTCCCAGTAATTGAGGTGTTTTATCTCCGTTATGCACACCTTGAAGGTTCTCTGTACATTTTCTAGGTCAGCAATTTCACCTGCCTTGAAAGGTGCTGTTAGTGTGCAGCAATATTCCAGCCTAGATGGAACAAGCGACCTGGAGAGTGTCATCATGGGCTTGGCATCCCTAGTTTTGAAGGTTCTCATTATCCATCCTGTCATTTTTTTAGCAGCTGCGATTGATACAATGTTATGGTCCTTGAAGGCGAGATCCTCCTACATGATCACTCCCAGGTCTTTGACGTTGGTTTTTCGCTCTATTTTGTGGCCAGAATTTGTTTTGTACTCTGATGAAGATTTAATTTCCTCGTGTTTACCATATCTGAGTAATTGAAATTTCTCATCGTTGAACTTCATATTGTTTTCTGCAGCCCACTGAAAGATTTGGTTGATGTCTGCCTGGAGCCTTGCAGTGTCTGCAATGGAAGACACTGTCATGCAGATTCAGGTGTCATCTGCAAAGGAAGACACGGTGCTGTGGCTGACATCCTTGTCTGTGTCAGATATGAGCATGAGAAACAAGATGGGAGCGAGTACTGTGCCTTGTGGAACAGAGTTTTTCACCGTAGCTGCCTCAGACTTGACTCTGTTGACTACTACTCTTTGTGTTCAGTTTGTGAGGGAATTATAAATCCATCTACCAACTTTTCCTGTTATTCCTTTAACACGCATTTTGTGCGCTATTACGCCATGGTCACACTTGTCGAAGGCTTTTGCAAAGTCTGTATATATTACATCTGCATTCTTTTTGTCTTCTAGTGCATCTAGGACCTTGTCGTAGTGATCCAATAATTGAGACAGACAGAAGCGACCTGCTCTAAACCCATGTTGCCCTGGGTTGTGTAATTGATGGGTTTCTAGATGGGTGGCGATCTTGCTTCTTAGGACTCTTTCAAAGATTTTTATGATATGGGATGTTAGTGCTATCGGTCTGTACTTCTTTGCTATTGTTTTACTGCCCTCTTTATGGAGTGGGGCTATGTCTGTTGTTTTTAGTAACTGTGGGACGACCCCCGTGTCCATGCTCCCTCTCCATAGGATGGTAAAAGCTCTTGCAGTTCTTAATGAACACGGAGTTCCACGAGTCTGGCCCTGGGGCAGAGTGCATGGGCATGTCATTTATCGCCTGTTCGAAGTCATTTGATGTCAGGATAACATCAGATAGGCTTGTGTTAACCAAATTCTGTGGCTCTCTCATAAAAAAATAATTTTTATCTTCGACTCTCAGTCTGGTGAGCGGCTTGCTAAAAACCGAGTTATATTGGGACTTAAGTAGCTCACTCATTTCCCTGCTGTCATCTGTGTAGGACCCATCTTGTTTAAGTAGGGGCCCAATACTGGACGTTGTTCTCGACTTTGATTTGGCATAGGAAAAGAAATACTTTGGGTTTCTTTCGATTTCATTTATGGCTTTTAGTTCTTCCCGCGATTCCTGACTCCTATAAGATTCCTTTAGCTTAAGTTCGATGTTTGCTATTTCTCTGACCAGTAACTCCCTACGCATTTCAGATATATTGGCCTCTTTTAGCCGCTCTGTTATTCTTTTTCGTCGCCTGTAAAGGGAGCGCCTGTCTCCTTCTATTTTACATCTGCTCCTCCTTTTTCTTAAAGGAATAAGCCTTGAGCATACATCGAGTGCCACCGAGTTAATCTGTTCTAGGCATAAGTTGGGGTTTGTGTTGCTTAGTCTATCTTCCCAGCTTATATCGGTTAGGACTTGGTTTACTTGGTCCCACTTTATGTTCTTGTTATTGAAGTTGAATTTGGCAAGGCTCCCTCGTGACTAATCTCATTTTGTCGGTCTGGGGCTCCGCGCATACGTGCCTGAACCTCGATTATATTGTGATCTGAGTATATTGTTTTTGATATTGTGACATTTTGTATCAGATCATCATTGTTAGTGAAGATGAAGTCTACTGTATTTTCCAGTCTAGTAGGCTCTATTATTTGCTGGTTTAAGTTGAGTTTTGTGCAGAGATTTAAAAGCTCGTGTATGTGTGAGTTCTCGTCCGAGCTGCCTCCTGGTGTTATCACTGCAACAACATTATTTGCTGTAGGTGCCTCAAGTTGAAATCCCCCAGGAGCAAGATGTTGGGAGGAGGAGCTGGAAGATTTTCCAGACAGTGGTCAATTTTTAACAGCTGTTCCTGGAATTGCTGGGACGTAGCATCCGGAGGCTTGTAGACTACCACAATGACTAGGTTTTGGTTCTCGATCTTTACTGCTAAAACTTCCACTACATCATTTGAAGCATTAAGCAGTTCTGTGCAAACAAGTGACTATGCGATATACAGACCAACCTCCCCCCCCCCCCTTTTGCCTGTTCACTCTGTCACATCTGTATAGGTTGTAACCTGGGATCCATATTTCGTTGTCCAAGTGATCCTTTATGTGGGTCTCTGTGAAAGCCGCGAACATTGCATTTGCCTCTGCAAGCAGTCCATGGATGAAAGGTATTTTGTTGTTCGTTGCTGGCTTTAGACCCTGTATATTTGCAAAGAAGAATGTCATCGGACTGGTGGTACTGGGAGGGACTTTTTTCCGGCATTAGTATCTGTTTCTGTTGGTATGGAGTGGGGGCCATCAACTGTGGTTCCATTCCAGGAATGACTGGATTTGGTGTACGATTTCTGCCATTTCCTGCCAGTTTTTTCCTTCTTGGCACTAAAAAATCTCCCCCTCTTGAGTAGCTGTGGCTACCCAGGTTTTCCCATGGCCTGGATGTTTTGTATCTTTTTGTCCCCTTTAGATGGTTTGCATGGCAATTTAAGTTATAGCACAGTCTTTCCTGTACTGAAGAGGTACACATTTCAGGGTGAAAAAGCTTACAAGAAGGGAGTTTGCATTTTCCTGTTGTCATATGGGCACGGCATTTTCTAGGGTGGTCAAAGTTGCACGTCCCATCTCTTTTTCCAGATTTCCCATGTGTACAGATACCAAGTGCATAGATGTGCATATATATATATATATATATATATATATATATATATATATATATATATATATATATATATATATATTATACACACGCACACGCGAATAACAAGTATGTACGCTAAGAAACGCACATATTCACTATGAAAAGCACATCGTCACTACTAAACGTACATCTTCACTACTTAACGCACATATTCATTACTAAACACACAACTAAACGCACATCTTCATTACTAAACGCACATCTTCACTACTTAACGCACATCTCCGCTATGAAACTCACACCTTTAATACTAAACGCACAACTCCACTATGAAACACACATCTTCGCCACTAAACGCACATCTCCACTACTAAACGCACATCTTCACTACTAAACGCACATCTTCACTACTAAACGCACATCTTCACTACTAAACGCACATCTCCACTACTAAACGCACATCTCCACTACTAAACGCACAGCTTCAATACTAAACGCACATCTTCAATAATAAACGCACATCTTCAATAATAAACGCACATCTTCACTACTAAACGCACATCTTCAATACTAAACGCACATCTTCAATAAACGCACATCTTCACTACTAAACGCACATCTTCACTACTAAACACACAGCTTAAATCAAGTTCGTTAACAAAGTTCAATATTTACAGATCTGTATATAAAATAATATCAGTTCCAGGTAACCAACTTTTTTGCCAATGTGATAACAGTAAGTTCGCTAAGGGAATTATTTTTTTTATTTTTTTTTATCACACTGGCCGATTCCCACCAAGGCAGGGTGGC